ATAGTTTTAAACAGATGGACCTTGGTGTATAAAAGCAATTCTCTGCAGAGTTTTTGATCATCTAAACCTGATTCTCACCCATTATCCGCTTCTCAAACATTTGCTTTTTGTCCCCGTCTTTTATAAATGATCTCTCCCAGTGTTCTGCAAACTGTTAACAAGTTTGATTTCAATTTGAGCCGCATTAAATCTTTACGACGCTCATTCCAAGCTATCCCACTTTCCCGTCTGCTAATTAACTTTGCAGCGAGACGTTTTAATCTAAATGGTCACTGTTGATTTTCCGCTTTCTTTTATCTTTTTATAACTCTTCTCTGTCTCTCTTCACACTCAAGCCCATTTTTCCAAACCGCCTAATCTCTCCCCTCCACGCCCTCTTTTAAAGACGTTGGCGTTTGAAGCGCACTTAGCCAAAATCCTGTGCCATTTGATTCACCCCTGCCCGGAGATATTATAGTTTGGCCTCTCTATCCTCTCCGTGGAAAGCCTGGACTGTCAACACGGCTAAATTTGGGTATTGGAATCGGGATACACGAGTGAGTGTTGGCGGGTGAGGAGGTCTTTTTGCTTTTGCCTAGTGAACTTGGTGTTTGGCTGGCCTACTTTACATAATCCAAGAGAAAGCGGCTCCCTGTGTACATAAAAGCGCTTTTCCTTGCTCTTTTTTTCTTAAATTGAGCTGGCTGTGCGAGTGGCTGAAAGATCGAAGCCAGAAGTTGCATATGTGCCAGAATATTTAGCAAAACGCTCACTAGAAAGTTTTCATTTTGAGCGTTCTTTTGACTGTGGATTTCTCCTCCGGGGATTAATAAAGTCTATGTATCTGTCTATGTGTCTGTCTGTCTATCTATGTTGTATCTATTTGTATATGAAAGAATGAATGAATGACTAATTTATTTCAAGAATGAGCATAAAACAATAACACAAAATTAATTCATCACAAACTTGTGGTATCCTAAAAATTATAGTAAACAATAAATATTAGTAGATTCCATATTTTTTGCAATTAAATTTATGTTTTTGCTTGAAAGGGAGTGAGAAGAAGTTAAAATATCTACCTCTATCTATCTATCTATCTAGACCGAGAATAATTTGTGCACCTTTTGTGACTTTTTGCATATGAAAACAAGTAATCCCAGCACATCTCAGGATCCAAGTAAAACTGGGTCTGGTTACAACTGTGATGGGAGACCTCTGGAAAAACGTTGGATGCCTCTGTGGATTGAATGTAAAGGGCTTGAATTAATGAATGAAACCTTTTAGCCAAAATGTGTCTTGTTGTTTGCATGTCGACCGTGGAGCAACGCCACTTGATCCTGAAATAATGAAAACGAGAAATAGTATCAAAAACGGTTCAGGTTTGGTACGACAAACACATTCTATACAGCGACTTGGGAACAAAAGTAATGTAAGTCCTGTTTATGAATCTACATTTATAAATCCAGAAATAGGCTAAGCTCACTTTGTACAATTCTGTGGAAAACTAAATCTTTTTCCTGGGTCATTTCTTTGTTGTTGGCCGCACACAGCAGATCCACTGGGGACATTTGTATAAACTGCTAACTGCATGACTTAAAAGAGATGCAATCCTAGAGGGAGCAAAGCATGTGGTAATTAACAGTTCTATATCCAAAGATAATGAGCCACAATACTAAACGCATCGGACCACAGAGAGGACTGCAGATCCAAGTTTAATACGCACAACTGTTCTGATGTCGTTTCTGTAACACACTAAAAACAGCTGTATCTCAATGTCACATTTTCCCATCTATCCATTTCTCTGTTCTCTTTTCAGGTATAAAAGTGATTGCGACATTAACATTGTGCTTCCATGTGGTCATAAATTACAAGAAGAGACTCGGCTTGTGATTCGCAAATAGTGGCTCATACATCAGTGGCTGGGTTGCATATGCAGGAATACCTTTAGAAAGTTATTGACACTAGGACTCCCAGAGCAGTCAATTTGACGGCTTTTTGTTTCGGACGCAATTACTCAGAAGATGCACTTTTGTGGTCTTCTTTACTTTGTGACTTTTAAGTTATTTCATTGTTTTCCATGACATTATCTTTTGTTTTTCAACTTTCTCAGAGCTGTCTTTTTGACTACCCCCTTCATTTTTATGTATAATTCAATTAGACATTTTTGATCATTTGGCAACCAACATCCTATGGCAGTTAAGGCAACTTTGGTCAAGGTTCTGGTCCTGGACTGGTTGAGAGCAATCTCAACATGGAGTGCTAGTTACCATAGCAACACACACATTTAGTAGCCTGTCACGAACTGTTTTTTTCTGTAATTGAAGTCTTAGCACTTTAAAATACTATAAACATTACTAATTTTTCATTTTATACTACTTTTAGTACAATTGATTTTTGGGATTTTTTCAGAACTCCATCAATTCTTGTAGTTTCAGAATTCTGGGAGTCCTAGTTGCGCTTCATTCTATCTTATCTCATTGTTCGTATTCCTTGTATGCTGTGTGTGTTTACAGATTGTAGTTCCATTTGCAGCTTTGATACCACTTGGTTCCAGAGACACAGACAAATCCAGTTTGAGAAGCGACCGCAGTCATGGAGTGAATACATGCTCCAGTGCTAAGAATAGAGCGGCCTTATATGGATCTGTGAGAGGCCACGAGACTTCATACTCTTACTGTTATTGTTGTGGTAGTGATGCCGTACTTCCTGTTCCCAATTATGTGACTTCAAAGTGGACCGTGTGAGTGTGTGAGTGTAGTAGAAAACACAGGAAAATAAAGAAGCGTTTGTGCTCGCTGCTGTCTAACCTCATGACCGGCACGACGAGACAAACATGTGACGATCTGAGAATACTTTTTGCAGTTTATAAGCGCCGTTTCCATCCAGTGGCTGTGTTTAACCAGGTTTTTACTACTCTGCTTGGTCCTGCTTCTATCCAGGCCAAGCTGGTACAAAAGTGTTCTTACTGACTAGTATTGGCAAGAGTGCTGCTGGGAGTGCTGGTTTTGCTAGTGCTTCTATCCGCGATTTTGTCCTTTCGCTCAGTATCCAAAGTTTACGACCAAAGTTGAGGGAGGGACTGTAGATTGACCAGTAAATTGAGGGTTTTTGCCTTTTGACTCTGCTCCCTCTTCAGCACAACGGTCTGATACAGCGACTGCATCACAAGAACTAACCATGTACACTGCACAAAGTAATGAAAAAGTAAAAAAAATCTCAAATTTGGCAAAATGTATCTTAATTTAAGCACATTTTTGACTTCCTTAAAACAGGATTTGCCAATGGGACAAAGCAAATGTATCTTGTTTTTAAAAAAATACAAGAAATGTCTTCCTTGGAATAAGAAATTAAACAACAGTTCTTCAATTAAGATTAAAATAACTTTTGCAAATCTTAAGATAAAAACCACTTCATTCAAGACCACAAATGTGAGATGAGTATTCACGCTTCCAAAAATTAAAAGCTAGTGTTAAGTAACAGCATAATCGCAGTTGTTTTTGCTGCAGAGACCAAAGCATAACATCGTATTGCATCTTGCCTCTTTTAGCCTCCTCTATCCCGGGTCAGGCGTTCACTGTGTGTACTTTCCAAACACCCAGTTAATCATTGCTATCTCCTCGTGTTATTGTTTTGGTTCACCCGGAGGCACCTCTAACCTAATCTTAACTTTCCTCAAATTATAAAGAGGGTGAAGCCAGTCTGAGCTTGCAGTAGCGTCTGGTGAGGTATTCAGTTTCAGTGGGACAGATGTCTATGATGGGAGACAGGGAGAGAGAGAGAGAGAGAGAGAGAGAGGGGGAGGCAAGACTTTCCAACAACTACCCCTCACATTTGTGCTCTATATTTAAACTTGGCACACAGCACTTGCAGAATAGGGATCGTCGCTTTCTCGCACGGTCGAGTTTTCTACCATAGAGAGTTGTGAGATTAACGGAGGAACAGGTGGGAAAAGCATAAGCAAAAGACAAGATTGAGTAATAAGTTTAAAACAGGAAAAAAACAGGAGAAAAGTATAGGATCAAAACAAAGGAACCAGAAGTAAACAAAGGATTGAACCAGGACTCAACATTAGACTCGACCAGGGCTCAACCTTGGACTCGACCAGGTCTCAACCAGGACTCAACCTTGGCGACCAGGATTCTAAGATCCAATAAAGACCAAATCAGGTGAAAATCAGGATCAACCGAAAGAACAGGACTGAACCAGGACTGAACCAGGACTAAACCATGACTCAGAGATTCACAAAGGACCCAATCAGGAGAGAAGCAGGATTGAGCCATGACTGAACAGGTTGAGTCGACCAGGACGCAACCAGGACGCGACCAGGACGCGACCAGGACTCGACCAGGACTCGACCAGGACTCGACCAGGACTCTACCAGGACTCGACCAGGACTCGACCAGGACTCGACCAGGACTCGACCAGGACTCGACCAGGACTCGACCAGGACTCGACCAGGACTCGACCAGGACTGGGGCAAGGATCTTCCCAGATTGTCAAATTCACATAAAAAATCTGACATTAAACCGGAACAAAACTCTACAATAATAGAGGTATCGAACTCTAACACTAACAAACAAAGGAAAAAAAACTGGATTTGATTCCACCACCAGGCAGGATCTTTCCGTGTGAAGTTTGCATGTTCTTCCAGTGTCTGCGTATAGCTTCTCTCTGGCTGTGACAGAGGCAAATACATGAATGTAGAAACTAGTGACAGAAACAAACAGGTTTTAGAGCAGTTTTATGGATTTTTCATTACATATTTATGTGGTTTGTAAGTTAGGTACTCGAGCTTTAACAATTCCACCCTGTATAGATTCAAGACCAATAACCAATATGCTTATACATGCAAATATCCGTTATTGGTCTACCATCAGAATACACAAGGACCCAACCAACTCCAATCCAAGTTACATAAAACCAAAGATGTACAACCAGGAGCTGCACGGATCTCTCTACAAATCACTTCCCATCAGTGTTTCCCACTCTGCAACCCGACACCTCTCCATCCCGTGGCTTTTATGCGCCGGGAGGCATTTGTTGGAGATAGTCCGTGGGCTTTCGGTTTGTTCTGGAGATGTCAACAGTGTGGGGGCGGTGGTGATGGGAGCCCACGTCTGTTAGACCCGGACAGATGCAGGCAGAGCTCCAAAGCCTCCGTCTCAACTGTCACTGCGGGTCCCAGGCGTTTGGGGGGGGGGTTTGGCCTTCACCACGGGCCCCGGGGGATGGCGTCCGATGGCGGATGCTTTAATAGAAACGTATTGGAAAAACCCCCGTTGGGCGACTGGATCCAGGGTTGAATTTAATAGAAATGTTTTGCCTTGTTTTTTAAAGTGACTGCAAAGGGCTAAAACTCACAGTCACGTTTAGTTTTGAGATTTGTTTGTGATGTTTGGGCATGTTGCAGTAACGCAAGCACGCAGAAGTAATGAAAGCAAAATTACTTAGGAATGCACATAGAAAATATCACTTATAAGAGCAGACCACAGTTCATATTTGTGGGAAAAGTCAAAAGTAGTGCTGTCGCTAACGATTATTGTGATAATCGATTCATGTCATGATTATTCTTTTAATTACTCGGTTAGTTGTCAAGAACATAAACACAACTTAAGCTGATACAAACTGATCTCTTTATAATTTTAGTGTCACAACTCTGGCTCAGGTGTAGCAACAAGGAGAGGACGCCACACAAGGAATGAAAGTGTTAAGTATTTAATTAACAAGACATCCATCCATCCATTTTCTTCCGCTTTATCCGTTGCCGGGTCGCGGGGGCAGCAGTCTAAGCAGAGACGCCCAGACTTCCCTATCCACACACACTTCCTCCAGCTCGTCCGGGGGGACCCCAAGGCGTTCCCAGGCCAGCTGAGAGACATAGTCCCTCCAGCGTGTCCTGGGTCTTCCGCGGGGCCTCCTCCCGGTGGGGCGTGCCCGGAACACCTCCCCAGGAAGGCGTCCAGGAAGCATCCGGAACAGATGCCCGAGCCACCTCAACTGGTTCCTCTCGACGTGGAGAAGCAGCGGTTCTACTCCGAGCTCCTCCCGTGTGACTGAGCTCCTCACCCTATCTCTAAGGGAGCGCCCAGCCACTCTGCGGAGGAAGCTCATTTCGACCGCTTGTATTTGCGATCGCCTGTCAATCTCACGCTCCATTCTTCCCTCACTTTAACATTAACAAGACATGAACGTGTATAATGAATGCAGTGTTGTGGGTGTGTACTTCTCCAAGTGAAAGTCTTAATAAAGTATGGGAAAAAATGTATGGTAGAATTTTACAGTATGCTCAAAGGCTTTGTGAAATGAGAAATAGGAAGGTAGACTGTAAAAGTATAATTTTACTAACTGGTCACGCGCTGTATTAGCCTAATGGAATTATGTCCAATCAACACTTGCTTAGCCTTGTCTGGCACATTTCTAATGAACACAGTTGGTACAATCTCAACCGATGAAGTAGGCAGTAGGCACACAAGTATACAAGTACATAAAGTTAAGGTCTTGGGGAAAACAAAAATCAGTTATAAAAAAGTCTGGAATTTTAACTTGGAAAAATAGCAAGCAACCTGAACATTACTACAAAACAAATTAAATATGTTGAAAATAAATAAATAACATATAGCATTTTTAATTAAGAATATCTTCACCTTAAATATGATTTGGAGGATACAAATGCAAGAAGTTAATACAAATAAAAACATTACATTCAGTCCCTTACAACAAGACATTTACACAATTCCTAATATTTTATTTACAATAACTTCTCTGTTTGTGTTAAAATAACATCTCTCAATGATTTAGTGTGTTGACATTTGTATAAAGAGTTGTTACGTTATTTATTCATCGAAATTTCCCCACTGTGAAACGAATAAAGGCTCTCTCCTCTTATCTTATCTACAAATATAGTAGTCGATAAATGAAAAAAAGCTCAAGGCGGGTCTAACCAGTGCCTTCAAAATAGTTTCACCGTCTCTTCACTGTTTGAAAAGTGGAGTAGTATCTAGATCAATTGCATATTTATTGTTGCTAAATGACAAAACAAAAGACAGAAGAATCGCATTTGTCATTGCAGCTAAAGAACAGTTTTTAATGCTGTAAAAAGTGTTAAGGATGTTTTCAATTTTTTTATGAATGAATTGCTGAAACGCTGAATAATGTCTCTGTATCTCGCACTCACACGTTCTTGTTTTTGGTTTATGCCAGAGCTGAATGAGACTATTGTGAGCTGTTGTGTTTAAAGAGCACTTGTGCACATTGAGTCGACCAGTCGCTACAAGAATCCATACATTTCTATTGCACGCTGTTAAGTCTGGTGAACTGCAAGCACCTGAGCAGCACAAACCAGACACACACATTTAGTATAATTAGCTTTGATTTTACACGCACAGTCACGGTTATTGTGAGAAAAAGGCAACACAAAAACACCAGAATTTTATAGTTATTCACAATTATTGACAAACAAAACAGGTTCATTTTCTGTTAAAGGAATAATTTCTTCTATACCAGACAATATAAGGTTTTGTCTCCCCAGAAGCTTCTGAGGAAGACGGAAGTTATCTGTCGAAACATGTCAGGCTCAAGGGAATTACATCTCAAAACCTTTTATTGTCTGGTATGGAAGAAACGTTTCCTTTAATTCTGCTAGAAAAACAAGATGAATCTTCCTAAACTATTAAAAGGTAATTTGTGTTTTGTGTAGGTTTTAGTGCTCACTTGTACATGCTTATCCCATTGGCAAATTTTATAATCTAATCCATTCTAATCTAATCTAAGACAGACACTTTACTCAAAATTTGATAAGCGCAATTTGGTCAGAGTTTAGGGTTGGGGGGTAAGGCTTTAGGGTTGAGGGGTAAGGCTTTAGGGTTGGGGGGTATGGCTTTAGGGTTGAGGGGTACGGCTTTAGCGTTGAGGGGTAAGGCTTTAGGGTTGGGGGGTAAGGCTTTAGGGTTGAGGGGTAAGGCTTTAGGGTTGAGGGGTAAGGCTTTAGGGTTGGGGGGTATGGCTTTAGGGTTGAGGGGTATGGCTTTAGGGTTGAGGGGTAAGGCTTTAGGGTTGGGGGTAAGGCTTTAGGGTTGGGGGGTAAGGCTTTAGGGTTGAGGGGTATGGCTTTAGGGTTGAGGGGTAAGGCTTTAGGGTTGGGGGTATGGCTTTAGGGTTGAGGGGTATGGCTTTAGGGTTGGGGGTAAGGCTTTAGGGTTGAGGGGACAGGCTTTAGGGTTGAGGGGTAAGGCTTTAGGGTTGAGGGGTAAGGCTTTAGGGTTGGGGGGTATGGCTTTAGGGTTGAGGGGTATGGCTTTAGGGTTGAGGGGTATGGCTTTAGGGTTGAGGGGTAAGGTTTTAGGGTTGAGGGGTAAGGCTTTAGGGTTGGGGGTATGGCTTTAGGGTTGAGGGGTATGGCTTTAGGGTTGGGGGTAAGGCTTTAGGGTTGAGGGGACAGGCTTTAGGGTTGAGGGGTAAGGCTTTAGGGTTGAGGGGTAAGGCTTTAGGGTTGGGGGGTATGGCTTTAGGGTTGAGGGGTATGGCTTTAGGGTTGAGGGGTATGGCTTTAGGGTTGAGGGGTAAGGCTTTAGGGTTGGGGGTAAGGCTTTAGGGTTGGGGGGTAAGGCTTTAGGGTTGAGGGGTATGGCTTTAGGGTTGAGGGGTAAGGCTTTAGGGTTGGGGGTAAGGCTTTAGGGTTGAGGGGACAGGCTTTAGGGTTGAGGGGTAAGGCTTTAGGGTTGAGGGGTAAGGGCTTTAGGGTTGAGGAGTAAGGCTTTAGGGTTGAGGGGTAAGGCTTTTAGAGTTGAGGAGTAAGGCTTTAGGGTTGAGGAGTAAGGCTTTAGGGTTGAGGGGCAAGGCTTTAGGGTTGAGGGGTACGGCTTTAGGGTTGAGGGGTAAGGCTTTAGGGTTGAGGAGTAAGGCTTTAGGGTTGAGGGGCAAGGCTTTAGGGTTGAGGGGTACGGCTTTAGGGTTGAGGGGTACGGCTTTAGGGTTGGGGGGTAAGGCTTTAGAGTTGGGGGGCAAGGCTTTAAGGATGAGGGGTAAGGCTTTAGGGTTGAGGGGTAAGGCCATAGGGTTGGGGGATAAGGCTTTAGGGTTGGGGGGTAAGGCTTTGGGATCCATCTTCACATATTGATGCCCGGCTTGGTCAGGACCACCGGAGTTGTAGTATTTTTATTTGGTTTTTATCCTTTTGTACATGTTTTTGGAGGTAGGGGAAACCAGAGTCGCCCGATGAGTAACACATGTTTGGAACTGTAGTGTTTTTCGGACCATGTTTTTCGCTGCTCTCATTTTCACCCGGCTCTATCGAGACAGGTGAGTTTGTGAGCTTGCTTCTGGCCAATGACAAAGCAGCACTGTCCAAGGTGCTGTGGTTATGGTCGCATGTGATTGGTCAGATTCAGATTCAGAACCACATTGGAATACATTTGCAAACAAAGGTACTCTGTGTGAACCAACAGAATAAAGAGCACGTCAACAAAGTCAAACCAATAGGTGAAATTGAGGCTCAAAACGTATTTATTTTAGTTTTAACACTCATTAGCAAAGTGGCTTTTTAACTTGTATTTTTTGCTTGAATGTTTTTATCGATTTTATGTGATTTTATTGTAAAGCACTTTGGTCGCCCTGAGTTTTGTAAAGGGCTCTATAAAATTCAAGATTCAAGTTTCAAGAATGTATTTGCCATTTGCAGTAAAACCACATTGGAAAAACTTGGCAAGACTACCCCAGTTGTAAACCAAAATGGATTTATTGATAACTTAATGATCATATTTTTTTCAATATAGCGTACAGCCTGAATGAAGGTACAGCCTTTTACTTTAAGTCACTTTAAGTCACTAATGCACTTGGACTGAAAATCTGCACTACTATTGCCACGCTTTCTTTTAGCGCCACTTTTTATTGTACATAATACATCCTGAACAGACTATAGTTTTTGCCTTGAACAGTTCTGTCTTTTGCACAAATCTTTCTCCGCCAAATGTGACATCATCCAGTGTGAGATCAATAAAGTCTATCTTATCTTATCTTAGTCGTATACACAGCGAACAGAACTGTTTTAACCGGGATTTATAAGCCTAGCTCACATTTTAAGGTAGACTGGCAAAACTATATGGTATTGGCCCCATAGGGAATTTAGTTCTGCACATTGATATCTGAACCTGCATTACATCAGCATCAATACTACCACACCAGTGCTCCCAGTCCTCGTGTGTGGCTCGTCACGATGCTGCTTAACTAATCTGCTCTCACTGACAGCAGAGAAAGGCTGTCACTGTATATATATATATTTTTTCCCCCATTTCTTCAAATATATACCTGCCTCCGACATGTGCAGCAGTGGTCCTAAGCCGAACCGTATCGTCCAATCACGCCGCTTCACAACTCTTCTTCACACTCGCTCCGTGCCGTTACCAAGGAGACAGTGAAGTGGAATCTGGGAAGTGGAGCAATGGTTTGGCACGGCATTTTTTGTATTATATATTTATATATGTGTGTTGTTTCTCCTCTCTCTCTGTGATAACATGCCAGGAGAAACTGAGAGGAGAGACTGAGCAATAATACTGTCCATTTTAAGTTTCCTAAGCACTTGCATATTGTCTGTATATAAGATGAGACGACTTTCTTTTTGTTGTTTTCAAATAATGGCCCTCATCTTGAATAATTTCTCTTTCTCTAAAATACAATTATAATTAAAAGATCTTTTGTCTGTCCCACAGTGGGTACATTTCACTGTTGCATCACAAGTTAGTAAGTAAGTACTTTATTCATATAGTGCAATGAAGTTACATAACTCTATACTAAATAAAAATAAAATCCCAAACTTTAACATAAAGAAGAAGCAGTATAAAGTATATAGCTTCAGCATTATAAGGAGCAACTTAAGCATATTGAAGAAGCAAGAATTAAGTACAATATCTCTGACTACAAAATACTCAACATGCAATGAGGAATGACAAAGGTCGACAGTTAAAGCTGGGGTTCTTACATTTCAGACTACACCAAAAGTAGCTCTGCATGTCTAGTTCCTGGGTGGTTCTATCAATAGTTTTCACATACAGTAGATATATTATTTTAGCCTCTTTTACAGATTCAGAAATCAGCTATTTCAGAGATAATTTGAAAAAAGAGGACCCCCTTGCTTCAGCCAATAAGCTCTCAGGCCAAAATGCAAGAAAAAATTTAATTATATAATATAAAGACAACATGTTGTGGTCTTATTTGTTCACATCAAAGCCTCCAACCAACACCATCCATTCACTCACTCTCACATTACATTCATACTGTACGTGTTTTTAGCGGTAGGGAAAACCGTAGCACCCGGAGGAAACCTACGCAGACGCAGGGACAACATACAAACTCCACACAGAAAGCCCTGGAGGTGGAATCGACCCCTGGACCTTCTTCTGTGAACCACAAGCATTTATATGACTTGTATATTATTACTTTCAAACACAATGAATTCATTAATTATGATAATGTTTTTTAATTTTTGTTATTAAATGCTTGAGTCAGCCCAAATCAAATCTATTCTTCTGGGTAGAACAAGTAAAGCACACCCCCAACTTCAATATTAACACCAGTTAATTAGACGCTCATTCTGGATACATCTCATAAATAACTGGATACATCTCATAAATAAACTGGATACATCTCATAAATAAATCAAACATGGATTTTTACTGAATGGTTCGAAATGATTAGCTTTGTGTGAATATTTTCCCCCAAAAGATCTGGGTTCTGTAAAACTGGTTCTGGATAACAATTATTATTAGTATTTATTGAAGGGACCGTGTACAGAGACATTAAGCTCATAGAGAGAGAGAGAGATATATTCTGCAGCAGATCAAAGCTAAAGAGCAAGTTTCCATCTGCAGTTCCTGGTTACAGAGAAATAAATGATAATATACAATATAAAAAAGCATCCATTCATTCTCTATCAACCACACAACACTTTACCATTCACTGCTTTTCAATCATTCTGCATCAGTTAAAGTTACATTTCAAAGGGTTAACTATATCTACATCTATATCAAAAGACAAATCTTAGTATCTGAGTTTTGAGTTCAACAAGTGTTTGCACCTCAGTTTGGGAAGCAGTTGTGTGGAGCAGCAGTTGTCTGAAAGCTCTGGCTGATCCAGTTTGAGTCCACCTGTTCTCGACATATTCACCAGAGGCTGTGGTGAGCGTCCTCCTGCTGGAGTCGCTCTGCTGCCTTCAGAAAAAATAGAGAGGAGGTCTTGACCAGAGAATGTAATCTTTTTTTTTTTTCATCCTGAATAGTTGGTGACAATATCTAATATACACAATATTACGGAATCACTGACCGTTTGGGATCAAGCTCCTGGATTTTTACATCAGAATACTGTAAGACAAGAGAATCTTTGCTAGCTGTAATGCTTCAATCAATTCTCTCTCTCTCTTTCTCTCTCTCTTTCGCTCTCTCTCTCTCTCTCTCTTTCTCTCTCTCTCTCTCTCTTTGGACATTCTGAAATTGCAGTATTGCACATGATTACAGTATTTACTATTTACAGATGAATGACATGTAAACACTCAGCAGTTCTCATTGTACAGTCTGACAGCAGCAGGAAGGAAAGACCTGCGGAACCTCTCCTTCACACAGCAAGGGTGACTAAGTCTGTCACTGAAGCTACTCTTCAGAGCAGACAGTGTCCTGCAGGGGGCAACAGTCATTTTGCAATTTCTAAACAATTATCATACCAATTTAACAGCTAATCAGATCTGTGAAATCTGCCTGAACAGAGCTGTGTTTTTAACATGTGTCTGTTATGAGTATGATGGTGTAGCGTTGGCGTTCACGACACATCTATTCACCTCCACACAGATTTAATCATTTCTATTATTATGAATTCTGGAATATAAAACGTTTTTTATGTTTTTTATTTTAATGACTTTATTGTGTCACCTTATTCTGTTCATACTTTTTCCCCATAATACATACAGCATAAGGAGACACATTTCATTGTCCTTTTTTTCCCCACTATGCTCCCCTTGTGTTGAAAATGATAATGCAATGAAATAAAAAAGAATAAAACAAAGCAAAAAAGAATATACTTGGCAGAGGGTGAAGGCGTTGATTGGCTGCAGCAGGTAGCCGACCCGATTGAATCACCGCAGGCTGCTACAGTATATAACACGCACTGGATGTGAATTATGACCAGATTTAACCATTTTTAATCACTTACCATAGAGTACAGTACATCCCTGATCCTAATGACAATTTTAAGCTATAGTGAAAAGTCTTTAATCCCATGCGCTTCAGACTTAATTTTTAAAGCAGTGGTTTTTAAAGAACTTGAGCAAAGAGCCAAAAGAGTGGATCTCCCCAAGGATAAAGCTGCAGTGATTGGAGATGGCAGCAGTGCGGTGCCAGCTGCCTCAGTCCTCGCCATCTCATATATGCTCCAAGTATGTCGCCTTTTCACTTCTCCCTCACGGTTATTACAGTAAAGGTTGAACAATGTGCATACTTATTTCTGAAGATGAAACCCGGTAATTGTATTTGCAATGGTGTTTAAAGGTCTGGGGGTTGTGACCAGATAAAAAGGAGCCTCTAAGATGACATTTTAATAAGCTTTAGATTTTATGTGATGTGGCTTGAACTCCTTATACATGATCATAGATAGATCATGATAATAATCTCTGCATACTGGAAGGAGAGCTACCTACAGAACTAGATACATGACATGATACAGTAAGGTAGACAGTAAAGAAGACAATAATAACACAATTCATAAAGAATAACATAATAACATAAAGAGAAACACATGAGACAAATCACACTCACTCACACACTCACACACTCACACACACACACACACAGAGACACGTTGACTGTCATGAATATATTGTGTATTATAAATTTCCAAAATTAGGGCTAGTATTAATACATTTAATTATGGTAAGTTTATCTGTATAGCACAGTTCATACACAAGGCAACTCAAAGTAAACAAAACATAATGGAAACAATCACACAAAGGCAAAAACGATGCAATCCTTCAGTTGTCTGCACATCTAAAAAAATACATTTTTATCCTGGATTTGGACATTATCAGAGAAGAAGCCTGTGTCACTTTTTCAGGAAGACTATCCCAG